CTAGGCCCCACAGACTCTGCCAGACTCTAGACCCCAACAGCAGCTCCTCAGGCCCCCTGCCAGCCCCAAGAGCCCCCCGAGGAAATCCTCAAGCCCTCTGCCAGCCTCCATATGCCCCCCGTCCACCCCTCAAGCCCCCCATCAGCCCCCAGAACCCCTCATCAGCCCTCAGAGTGCCTCTGTCGGCCCCCTAGAGCCTTCTCCACAAAGCCCYTTACCAGCCAAGTGACCCCCATCACCCCCAACTCCCTGAGCCCCATGGCAGCCCCAAGGCTGCTGTGACCCTCCCCAGCCACTGGCAGCCGCCTGAGACCCCAAGAAGCCAGWCCCTGCTGGAAACAAGAATGGGATGGGACAGGGATGGGATGGGGTAGAACAGGATGAGACAGGACGAGGACAGGCCAGGGTGGGGTAGGATAGAATGGGATAGGATAGAGAAGTGTGGGACAGAATGGAGTGGGCATAGGGCAAAATGGGTTGGGACAAGCTGGATATAGCAGAGGATTGTATGGGGACAGGATAGGACAGGACAAGATGGAATAGGGTGATGGATAGGATAGGATTAGGATAGGATTAGGATAGGATAGGATAGGATAGGATAGGATAGGATAGGATAGGATAGGATAGGATAGGATAGGATAGGATAGGATAGGATAGAGCAAATGAGGTGGGACAGGATGGGGACAAGGTAAAACACAATATGAAGAGGACAGAATGGGATGGAACAGGATCAGATGAGGTTGGACAGGATGGGATAGAATGAGATAGGACAGGAACAAGACAGGTCAGGACACCATGAAATAGGATAGGATGGAGACAAAACAGGTAAGGACGGGCTGAGATAGAATAGGATGGGATAGGATAGGACAGGACAGGATTGGGTGAAATAGAACGAGGATAGGATGGGATGGGGACAAGCCAGGTCAGGATRGGATGGTATAGGACCAGGACAGGATGAAGATAGGATAGGGACAGGGCTGGATGGGATGCAGACAAGACAGGTTGGAATAGGATAGGACAGAGCAGGATAGGACACGGCTATGGTAAAATGGGCTGGGATGAAGCCGAATGGGAACAGGTCATGTTGAGATAGGATGAGATAGAGACACAATAGGTCAGGGTGGGATGGGATAGAGCAGGATAGAGTAGGATTTGATGGACCTAGGACAGGATGGGATGAGGTGGGGTGGAATGGAAACAGGTAAGGATAGGGTAGGATGGGATGGAGCTAGGACAGGATAAAATGAGCTGGGATGGGATGAGGACAGGTCTGGGTGAGATAGGATAGGGTATGATAGGATAGGATGGGCGATCTAGGACAGGATGGGATGAGGAGAGGATGTGATG